GTTAAAGTAAAACAAAGAAGCTTTTCCCTTATAAAAAATAAAAAGCTGCAATATCGTTTTGTTTATAAGCTATATATATATATATATATATATCCTAAAAACTATGCATTCACCTCTATTTTGTTAGAAGTTAGCTTTAATTTGAATCTAACTAATAGATTATGCATATTAATTGTTGTTGCCATAGTCAACCTTGGCATTCTAAGGGATTATTTAGGATAAATTTAATATGAATTTGGAACTGTCCAGAAGATTAGATTAGACGGGAAGAGGAATTTGGGAATGATGATGGTAGGGGCCACATCTTATTTATCCTCAATCAAGCCATAGATAAATGAAATGTGATGAGCTGAAATCAATCAATCAATCCAAAAGAAATAAATCAAACCAACCCACCCAAACCAGCCATCATAATCCAATTTCCCACCATACAATTGCCCACATTTATATTCCACATGTTTAAGATACTTAGAAAAAAAAAATAGAAAAAAAATAAATAAATGCTTGATGACAGCATGCCTTCTCGGAAAATCATCTTTGAAATGAAAAAAAATGAAAAAAAAAGGAGAGAAACCTATTGGTGGGAAATGAAGAAGTCCACCAATGGAAGATCTGGATTGTAGACAATGGAATAAAACACACAATCAAATAAGTTTTCCAACATGTCCCCAAAGTTGCAAAAGGTGGGTCCAATCATGAACAACTGTCAAACACAGTTGCTTTGATTATTCAATTAAATAACATTAATTTGATGACTTGATTCACCTGAAAACATATGCTTTTGGGGCATAAAAATATAGGCTTTTTCTGCTGTGAGAAGATATGCCCAGATCTCCTTGAAGACCCTCGTTAGTATATATGCTTACCTCATTACCCACTTCTTATATTCCTTTGTTTAGCAACTACTCTCTCTTAATTCAATATTTTAGTAACATAGTCAGGATAACCACAAAAACCTCATTTTCATTAATTTTTTCAAAAATAAGCTAAAGAAATCTTTTCTTCGTGGCGAGCTAAAAACCGTAAGGTACTAAGGTTTTAATTTTCAAGCTTCAATTTGCTTGGTATAGAATGTTTTAAAATCTTACTTTATACTGATTTCGTATGTTCAATGAATTGATTGTAGGGGATCAATATGTCAATTGATAGATAAGAATGAGATGAAATGAACTGTAGCCCTATCAAAACTTTTATGGGTGGAGGGGACAATTACAAAGAAACTCCATCAAGTGCTGAATAATCACATTTGCACAGCTCTCTGAAATTTTTTATGCATTTTTTTGAGACCTGTAGTGGATGGGACTTGGCACCCATATTCATAATATATTTACTTAAGCTTTTTAAACTATATTTTTATATTAATATTGGCTTGGAAAAGGCAATGAGTACATGAATCCATTCCACTGACTCAGTAGTTGCGTTTAGTAAAATAATGTTAGATATTAGATATGGCATTAAAGTATGGAAAAAGATAGATTTGTTTCATACTCAAATTTACATCCCATCTTCTCTTTGACTTTTGTTATTGCAGTTAATATTATAACAACTCTAGTTATCTTTTCTTTAGGCATGGAATATATGTATTAATAGTATTATTGTATGTTCAAGTGGTACCATAATTGCATGATTTTATAAGTCTGGTATATATTTTAAAATTTCTTGCAGGCCATGGATATCCTACTTAATAAAACAAATTAAATGAATCCATTTAAATTGAGAAGTTTGAAGAGAATCTACTACAAAGTGCCAAATTTAACAAAAATTGTAAAGGATAATTTTTAACTTAGCACTCAACCTTTGGGATCACTTCACAATCATCCTCAACCATTCAAAACTTTGCAATATAAACCCTATTGTCGTTTAATTTATGTGGAGAAACATAAAAACACAAATTACTATTAACTTAACCCAAAGGGTTGATAAGATGTTAGGTGAACTCTTTAGAATGAGAAAACACACTAAATTGGCTTGTTTCTATCAAATTGATTTGTCTATATCAAATTATAGTCCAAGTTCACAATATTGCGATTTTTCAAATTTAAAGTTGAATTT